GGTGGCCGCAGCGGTGACGACGCCGACACACAAGAGCGCTGCGGGCGTCGGCTTCGTCGCCATCGTCGTCGTCGTCGTCGTCGCCGTCGGCTGCGCGTTGGGTTCCGTCGGCGTCGCCGTCGCCGTCACCATCCTCGGCGCGTTCCGGTTCGTTTGCGTCGTTGTCGAAGCTTAAACCGGTGCTCCATGTTTTGCTTGGCCCCCGGAAGTTGCTTGCTTCGGTGCGGGGATCGGGTGTGAACGCAATTTGCGGCCACCTGCGAGCCCTACCGTATATGGGTCTGGCCAGGAAGCAGGCATCCGGGCTCTGGAGGCCAAGCCCGCGGTGCAGGAATCCGATCTGCAGGGTCAGGGTTCGGATGTGATGCTCGAGACCGAGGAGGCGGTCTTGTTTTTCTGGTTCGGTACCAAGTCATGAGGGCCTTGTGTACCCTCGCAATTCTGTCTTCAGCGCCGATTAGCGTCAATTATCGTCTGGGAGTCGATTATATAGCGCCGATTTAGCGTCGGCTGGCGTCGATGTAGCGTTGATTAGCGTTAACATTTAGCGTCGAGTAGCGTCGATTCGCCAGAGCCGACAATATGGTATGGGGTATGGGAGGCTCCCATGCATTGCCCCCGCAGTCTGAGGCTATGTCTTCCTTGTGGAGGTCGGTCGTCGCCGTCGTCCCCGCCGACGTCGGCGTGAATCCGCCGCCGATCCGAATCAATCCGACGTGATCGCGACGCACATCCGACCTGGATCCGACGCGCACTAGGTGGCTGCGCGAGGCCTCCAGGATGTTTCCCCGAACACCCAGGATCGCGACCTCGGGAGAGGTCTGGGCACGTGTGAGCGACGCAAAAAAAGCGGGGTCAAGTACAGTCGGGGCCCTGAAGCGGGAACCCTTTTCGTTGGGGAGGGGCTCCGCGTTCCTTAAGTGTTTCGCAGCTTGCCTCAGGTTTCCCTTATGTTTCGGGTAGGAAATCGAAGTTTAACGTATGGGAAAAAAGGAGCCTCGTTCCTTATTCAGGGTTCCTTAGGTCAACGCCCCGACTGTAGGCTCCCCGCGTAAGGTCCCGCGTGAGCGCCCTCGTTCTCCAAGGCGGCATGCCGCGCTGGCGGCCCGCCTGAGACGCCGCACAGGGTCGCTGTGCCATCCTGTGCGTAAGACCCACTCTTGCGTAAGACGCTACGCCATCTTGCGCAAGGCGCTATGCCATCCTTGCGCAAATCAGTGGGTCTTACGCAAGATGGCATAGGGTCGCTGTGCCATCTTGTGCGTAAGACCCATTTATCCGTAAGGGCTTCGCCCCCTGCCGCCGGCCCCCTCTCTCGGAGAATGGGCCATGGAAGAGCTAAGTCATGAGGCCTTGGCGCTGTCGTGAAGCAGTATCGAAACTTCATGCGAAGCCGATTCGCAATCAGCAAAACCAACTGATCACAAGAGGGGTTACCACACCTGGCGATTGGTAAGACGTGTATGGTTTACGGGCTTGGTTACCACACCTTGCGATTAAAGGGCCGAGGGAGTTCTCGCAGTTTGGGTTACCACGCCTTGCGATGGATGTGCGTGAAGGGTGGCACCGAATTTCAGAAATGTAGCAAATCCCCTGTGTTTTTAAACCCTGACCCCGCGGATCTGCATGAGGGGGGGCACCGAATTTCGGAAATGTGGCAAATCCAATATGTTTTTGGACCCTGACCCCGCGGATCTGCGTGAGGGGTGGCACCGAATTTCAGAAATGTGGCAAATCCCCTATGTTTTTTGACCCTGACCCCGCGGATCTGCGTGAGGGGTGGCACCGAATTTCAGAAATGTGGCAAATCCCATGTGTTTTTGGACCCTGACCCCGCGGATCTGCGTGAGGGGTGGCACCGAATTTCGGAAATGTGGCAAATCCTTTGTGTTTTTGAATGCCAAAAATGTAGCAAATCTCTTGTGTTTCTGGACCCTGACCCCGCGGATCTGCGTGAGGGGTTGCACCGAATTTCAGAAATGTGGCAAATCCTATATGTTTTTGGACCCTGACCCCGCGGATCTGCGTGAGGGGTGGCACCGAATTTCAGAAATGTGGCAAATCCCATGTGTTTTTGACCCTGACCCCGCGGATCTGCGTGAGGGGTGGCACCGAATTTCGGAAATGTGGCAAATCCAATGTGTTTTTGGACCCTGACCCCGCGGATCTGCGTGAGGGGTGGCACCGAATTTCAGAAATGTGGCAAATCCCTTGTGTTTTGGACCCTGGCCTCGCGGATCTGCGTGAGGGGTGTAGATTTCGAGCCCCCCCAGCAATTCAGACAACGCGCCCAGGGGGTGCTAAAAAGCCGGTTTGGGCCTCCCCCCCCTCCGCGCGGTCAATCAACTACACCAGCAATAAGTCAATTAGTTTCAGTAACCAGCAAGAAGCAGAACTGTAACACTGGAAACTACAACCTACGACTGGTACAGGAAACTGCGAATCACGGGCCTACAGCCTGGTGGCCCCACAAGGGGGCCGGCGGATTTTGCGTCCCATTTTTTTCGGCGTCGTGGAGTTCGGTCGTCGCCGTCCCCGTCGGCCTCGGGCGGCGTCGTCGCCCCCCGGTCGTCGTCGTCGTCGCCTCCGTCGGCGCCCGCGCGCCGGCGCCGGGCGCCCGCGGGCAGCGCCTGGAGGTGCGCAGTCGGCCCGCCCGCAGCCGTGCAGCACGGGGGCCGCGGCGTGCCGGCGGAGGCCCAGGGCTTCATGGTCATAGCGATGGCCACCGCGCCGGCGGTTGCCGCCTACACTAAGGGGGGGAGGGAGATCAGAGGCAGCGAGAGGGGGAGAGAGGCATAATAGGGGGGGGATGCATCGACCCCCCAGTCGTCCACTCATCGCCGATAGGTAACTGAGGGCCCGATAGTCCTCCGCCGCCCAGAGAACGTGCGGATGCACTATTTGGGGCCTCCCGGCGACTGCTCGGCGATGTATCCCCCACTGTGCCAGTCCCCCCTACCGCTGCCCCTCAGAAGAGGTACTGATACTGCCTCCTTAGAGGTGGCCTGGAGCCTAAGCTGGCCCAGCATTGGCTCCAGTCAAAAGGAAGGGGGGGAAGAGGTTCGAAGTGTTGGGTTCAAGAAGGTCTTTTGGCCTCCTTTAGCCCCCGGAGGCTGTCTTCGGGCGGACCTTCAAAAACGGATCAGCTGTGAAACATCGCACCAGACGGACCCCGGAAGGGGTGCCTTCGCATGGAACCTCGACGGTGCCTTCGCATCGAGCACCAAACGAAGACGTTCGGCGTCTCCAGCGAAGGAGAAAAGTTAGAGAAGACCCAGCGCTTGAAGGATGCATTGGACCGTTGGGCTCCGGGATCTGGGTCTCAGGATCTCCTCGCACAGTCTGCGATCTTGGAGGTCTTGAGACTATTCAGGCTCTTTCCGGTTAGATGGGGCAAGATCGCAAGATGGCTCTGAAGTCGGACCTTGTAGATTTCAATAATGAGGTAAGGGAGGAGGTCAGCGTTGTCGTGGGCTGTCGACACCCTCAGCACGTCAGACAGACAGCGTTGATGCCGACGCCCGACGTGCGCATCGCGAGGATGGAGGCTTTCATCCAGGACCACTTCAGGACGTTCTGGCCCGCTGGGTTGAGTAATGGCTACAAGGGCCCGCACACGAACCGTAAGTATTTCCGAGGCTCTTGGGTCGAATTCTCTAGCGTCGAGGTCGCCAAGTCTTTCTTCTCTAACGTCGGTAGCAAACAACTGATGGTCAAGCCAGCCCGCACGGAATTGCAACGCACCCGGAGAAATGCCACGGGTAAGGCCGAGGAGCTGATCAAGGCCTCCATTCTGACCGTGGGCAAACAGGTCCAGATTGATTGGGAAGTCGGTGGCTCCTGGGAGCGGCTCGTGGCGGTCAACGGCGCCACCGAATTCAAGTAGGAAGAGACTTAAATTAAGGGGTTGTTCTTGCAGCCTTTCGCCGACGCGGTCATCCCATAGGGTTTACCAAGGGTCCGCTCATCATCAGTGTGCCCGTCCACAGACGCATCCTTGTCATGTATCTTTGGTAGTCCCGTCAGTTTCTGGCAGATGAGCGGCCCCAACAGTTGACACCCCGACGCCCAATGAATTTGAGGTTCTCGGTCGGTTCTTGCACGCCATATCCGTCGCCACCGTTGGCTTCAAAATCCGGGTCGTCTGCGCCCTCCTTGCGAGGACTCCCGGAAATCTGAGCCCGAATCGCCAGATCCAAATGTTCATTGCCTGTTCATTCGCGCGATTCTCTTCCACGCAATGCCACGCCATGTTCCCTTGATTCTGACAATCGCGGAAAGTTGGTTAGACAGTCTTGTCACGGTAGTTTGTTTGCATACCTACACGGTTGTTTCACGCCGCGACAGCATACAAGGTGGAAGCACGATTTTGTTCGCAAGTGCAATTTTCAAGAATTGCGTAGCCCGTGCTGGCGATTCTTCTGGAGCCGAGCGGTATTGGCACATCGTCCACACCAGTTTTGGCCCTATGTCGTTGGTTCTGTGGCACTGGCCTCCTGAGCAGACAGAGGCCGACACCAGTCACGCTATTGACGGATTGGCGCGGTTCCCCTTTGTTGGTCGTTCCACCGTCATGGGCGACATGGGCGTTCATCAGAGTCAGTGGAGGCGTTTTCCTCGCGAGGTATATAAATGAAAACTAGGTCCTGCTGGACTCCTGCAGCCACATGGGCCTGTTAGAACAATTGGGGCACCGACTCGGGGCAGCGACTTGCTAGACCTCGTCTTGACGGCTTTGTTTTCCGGCCTGGCGCGAGAAGCCTTGCCACCCATCATCGAGCGCGACCATATGTTGGCATGCGTGTCTACATCCGTGCGCGTGAAGCGTTCCGCTCCGACTGCACGCGAGCAGCGGTTGTTTCAATATGTTCATTTTAACATGTTCAGTGGCCCCAGCTCCGTTTTGAGCTGCAGAATGTGGTTTGGATGTGTCTCTTTTGTTTCGCATCCTGCTCTACGTCAGCAGGTGCAACCAAAATCACAGGCTTCGCCGTGGATGGGGCGAAGAATTGTACCTGACATTCCCCAAAGTCGCCCAGAACTCCACCGATCCGTGGATTGAAGAAGTGGGTATGGAGTTGACCAGGAGAAAAGTTGAAGCACATGGGACCCCGCAGTGGGAACATCGACGGGGCGAGTGCGTTGCTGGCTTCCGCCGTGCGTCACCACGAAAAGCACAGTCAGCGCACTCGGACGCGCATGCTGGATGTGCGACTCCCGCGCAACAAATTGCATTTAGTTTGTGAGTCGTTGCTTGGATCGTGCTGTTACGGGGTCAGTCGGTACTCCTCCGTCGCAGTCACAAACGGGATCGTGGGCTGTGTCCTCTCGCGCAAAGGCCGAATCTTTAGAGAACGGCGTTTCAGGTTGCCATGGATACACGGCTGAATTCGCACTGCGGCGAGCGAGTGGTTCAAATCGTGGAAGGTTCATTTGTCGTTTTTTTGTTTAGGAAGCTGGCGCGTCCCAGTTCTTCAAATCATGATGGGGCCTACGTCGCATCCCAATTTCGCAAAGCAGTCGCTTCGCTAGCGCCTGCTCCTGCTCTTCGAGCCCAGTGGGGCACATGGAGGCTCAGTTTGCTTATGGCACGAAACGGGGCGACAGAGACGCTTTGGCTTACGTGGTGTGTTGTTGGATCTGCGCAGTCTGCAGTGGCCGGCGCGTGGGGGTGTATTGTTCGGGCGGTGGTGGGGCATTTGACAGGGACTTCTCCGACCGCCTCGACCAAATTCTGCGAAATTCTGCGCGGCTGGCTTGCGCGAGCTTGTTTTTAAGGTTATTCGGTCGTGGCGTCTGGGGAAAGGGGAATATCAGCGTGGAAGGACTCGCACAGTCTTTCTTGCTTTGTGACATGGCTTTCCAGGGCGCGGTCTTCGGGCTTCTGTTCTGTACCGCGTATTATGATGATGCCGGAATTGTCGCGTCGTCGGCCGACTTCGCAAAGCGTGTCTCCGCTGACCACCTCACTTGTGGGAAAGAGGTTGATGGCGTGGTCACAAGCTCGTCGATCTTCGTTGCGTCCCACCCTTGCCTGAGTATGTTCGATCAGGTGGTTTTTGAGGCGACCAAGGATATCGCTGGCATCCTGGACAAGGGCAGGCCGCACAGAGACGTCTGCAAGATTCTCCTCAGCGTTGAAGAATTGGTTCGCGAAGCATCCTAGCGGCATTGCGCGTTGCTCCAGTTAAGCAAGTTCTACACCATTGTCGAGGTGTTTCGGAGTGTTCAAATGCCACGTTGTCGTTGTCGACGGCGCCACCCAGGCAGTGCCCCACGCAACAGGTGCAGCTCCGTGAGACGGCCTGCAGGCAAAGCTGTTGTAGCCGGTTGAAGTTTCGGACGAGTGTTGCTTTGAGTAATTACAATTACATCCAACATTTATGAGACGTGACATGTTTATTTTAGGTCTGTTGCGCTAAAATGCCGAAAGCAAAGACCACCCCTGTACTCTGCGCCCTTCGTCCGCAGATGACCGGCAACCTCGATGCCACAGCTTGAGTGCAGGAGCGCGCGTGCACAACAGGGCGCCCTGCGAAATAGTCAAGTCGGGCATGCTTCCCACGATGCTCAGGATGTTCCGTATGGTGCGCGAGATGAAAGTCTAGACGCTTCGCGTATCCCCACCAGACCGTCCAGAAACGACGCCCAGGCGAGTAGAGGGTCGTCCTGAGGGTTTTTTCGGCGTCTTGGGTGCCTCGGGGGGGCCTCTGTGGGCCGTTCGGGATCCTCTTTGGGGCCTCCTGGGGGCCTCTTGGGGCCTCTTGGGGCCATCTTGGGGCCTCTGGGAGCACCTTGGGTGCCTCTGGGGGGTCTCTTGGGGCCTCTTGGGGGTCTCTTGGGGGCCTCCTGGGGGCCTCTTGGGGGGCCTCTTGGGGTCATCTTGGGGCCATCCTGCGGCCTCTTGGGGCATCCTGGGGGTCTTTTGCGGCCATCGTGGAGGACATCGATCAAAGAAGAGGGGTTCCTTAATTAGAGTCCCCCCCCCCAGGAGCCACGATCCTCGTGAGGGGTGTCGAATTTTAGCCTTCCCAGGGGTCGATCTTGGGCGCCCCAGCGCGCCGCGGACCCCCCTGTCCAGGTCAGTGGGGAGGGGGTAGGGGGAGGGGTAAACCCCTCCCCGAAGGGGAAGAAGGAGGGGTGGAAGAGGAAACGCTCTAAACCACCGACGCCCAGAGGGCTGGAGGGATACTATGGTGCGCGAGATGAATTACTATTCCCTCGCATGTTGTTGATCCCCTTTTCGGGGAACAGTTCCGGAGAATGGTTATCGGCCCACGGCGGTCGAAACCATCCGGTCAGGCACGCGTGCTGAGCCGCGCTCCGCAGTTATCTCTCGCGCGAATTCTGGTCTCTCGTCGCAGAGAAAGAGGAGGGGCCCAAGAACAGATTTTGAGCGGTTTTTGCCTCGTTCCCTTCTTGATTGATTTCTGGGCCCCATCCAGCTTAGACCCTGCGGCCCCCTCCAACCGCTACCCTCGCTTCGCTTGAACCACTGAGGGCCTCCGGGGAGGCCCTCTTCGTCACCGCTGGATTCGCTTTGAGCTTCTGGTTTACGGCGCAGTGTGGGGGGGTCCCGGGATTAGCGGTATGGGTACTTCTTTCGGGGGCGGAAAAGAGGGGGGTGATGATTAGAGGGGGTAGTAGATCTCATGGCGTGGGCCATGAGATCTCCCCAGATGTCATGGCGCCTCTTCTTGTTTCATTACGTCCCTAGCCCCCCCGCTGGGCCGCGCACGTGCCGCCGGTCATGAGTTGCACCCCCCCCTCTTGGACACCCCCCTCTTGGCCGCTCCCGACTTTTGTGATCCCCGTGGCGCGCAAGGGTGGCCTTTCGCCGGGGTGGCCTCAGGTGCGCGTCTGGGCGTTTCTGGCCGCCTTTCTGCCAAGCCTTGTAGGTTTCCCAAGCAGCTGCGCCTCGCCGACAGCTTCCCGTGGGCGCCCGGGTCATTCTGAATGGCCGCCGGAGAGCCAAGAGGCAGCCCGAAAGCCGAGCGGCCCCTCGTAGGAGTGGCCTTGGCGTTCGGGGCCGTGGTTCTCCGGGGGTGCCAGCCCCAAAAGCACAAGGCGCGACTGTCGCGTCGCGCACCAGAGAACGCTTTTGCTTGAGGCCACTCCTGCGTGCAGCCGAGGTTGGCAGTGGAATGAGCCAGGGATTGAGCGGCGAGGAGCTCGCCGCCCACTTGCGCGCGGCAGCGCCAGACATGTACGAGGATTGAGGCTCGCAGTCGTAGCCTCCCGCTTCCACTTCCTGGGTTTGTCCTTCCTGGCCCCCCACATGATGCTCGAGTAATTCGATACTGGAAGGCTTCGAATCGCCGATGCATCGGCGACGCGGGTTGGTTTGGAGCCAGGTTTTCTCCACGCCAACGTCGCCGCTGCATCGCCGACGTCGCCGACGCATCGGCAGTGCCTCGACGATGTCTCGGCGATGCGGCGCGATCCTCTGACCCTGTCTACAGTCAACGCGCATTGTAAGGTTGAGTGGCATTTCCGAGGGCACCCTGGCATCCTGCGAGTAGGGAAACGACTACACAATTGACTTACTTCAGAATTTATTTCTTCGTCGACTCTACGAAACATGCGTTTACATGTTCGCAGACCCGACGAGCAAATCAACTTCGGGGCAAAACATTTCTGCAGTCGCCCCCCTACTCGCATCCTTGCCCACTCGGCCTGTCGATAGGCATCCCCACAGCCAAGACGCTGAAACAAGGAACGCTGAAATAAGGACGCTGAAACAAGGCATCCCTACTCACTGGTCGTTGAGAATAGGTATTCGTAGAAAACCAGATCCCAATCTACTTCAATCGCCTTCCTACTTCAAGAATCGACATGCTTTTGCTGTATTTTGTTATTCTCTGGGAGGACCTGGACCCAATCCACTTTATCCGCCTTCCTACTTCATGTTTCTATATACTTCTTCCGACTGGCGTGTAGCTCAGAGAGCTCGACCTTGGACGTCCACGGGGCCTGCATCCCCACCGCGCACCATCGCGCATCCTTCGTGCACGCGTTGGCTGTACTTGGCTCCCGCTCGGCAGGCCCCGGTCCTGCCCCACCCACGTGCCCTTTATATAAGGCGGGCCTGTCCCTCCACAGGAGGAGTCTTCAAAAAGATGGTCAACACATAGTCTGGGGACGATTCTTTAGCCTTGATTTATGGGTATTGGTGGGTATGTTTTGGATAGTTCTGAGCTTTCGTCCAAAATCCCCCCTGCAGGGGGCTCGCCTGGCCTAAACGTACCCTGGCCAGCTCCCCGCGTCGCCCCCGCGTCCCTCCACCCCAACCGCAGTGCTGGCGCGTGCGTCGCGAGGGCCTGTCAATAGGTCTGGAGCCCTGGCTGCGCAGGTCCCAAAGGAGGTCTTGTGAGCCAGGGCCCAGCTGGGAGGCCTGGAGTCTGGCATCAGCGCCGATTATCGGCGGTGTTCCTCCCCGGGGGAAGGGGATCTGGATCTCTCGGTGATGGTGGTGATGTTCAGGATCCCCAAGAAGGTTACCACCAACAGCAACACCTGGGCTCATCCTCCCCCCGATGGACGGCGCCCCCCCCCGTGTTGGTGTTGGTGCCCGTTTCCAAGCCTCCAGCCAGCACAACTAATTTTAAGCACGGTTCCTTAAGAGAAGATCAGGGGCAACGATAGGGGGGAATAGGCATAGGGGGGGATGCATCGACCCCCAATCGCCCATTGATCGCCGATAGGGGCCCGATAGCCCCAACCTGCCCAGTAAGGTGCGGATCCACTGTCGGAGGCCCATCGCCGAGCTATCGGCGATGTATCGCCGATTCCAGATCGATGCATCCCCCCCTGTGCCAGTCCCCCCCCTCCCGTTGCCCCCCAGAACAGACACATCCATCCAGCTCGGAGGGCAGATGAGGCCGCCATTTCGGGCAGCCCGCCGCCCTCCCCGGAATGGCGCGGCCCGCCTCGCTTCGGGCCTTCTTCCTCGCGTGCGCGCCCGCGCCCGGCTCCCTCGTGCTTCCTCCTCCTCCTCTCGGACCTCGCTCATGTGATGGGCCTGCTTTCCGCCACCACCATAAGTTGGAGGGGAGGAGGAGGAGGACGAGGACGAGGACGAGGAGGACGAGGACGAGGAGGAGGAGGAGGAGGAGGTGGAGGAGGAGGAGGAGGAGGAGGAGGAGGAGTTGGAGGAGGAGGAGGAGGAGGAGGAGGAGGAGGAGTTGGAGGAGGAGGAGGACGAGGAGGAGGAGGAGGAGGACCTCCTCCCCCCCTCCCCCTCCAACTTCCTGGTGCTGGTGGTGGAACACGGGCCACCTCCTCGGGGGCAACGCTGGCGGGGGGATAACACGGCGTCGGAACGACGCGCCGACCCCCCGAGTCGCCCGCGGCTTGCGGGCCGCGCAGGCCCGCGAGGAGTTCGCCCTCGGAGGCCTATCCCAGGCACGATGAACTTCTCGGTTCCCAGGAACATGTGGGAAAATGTGGGAAGTGTGTGTGTGTGTGTGGGAAGGCGAGGACCGAGAAATACGGGAAAGTACAGGGGAGTCCTGTCATTCGTGCTTGCTTGTTTGTGTGTCCCAGGGCCCCTTCACCGTCGCCGATCTTTTCCAGCGATCGATCGTCGCTTCTATGTCGAGAATTCCATCGTCGATCTCTGGACGATGCTGTCGATCGGCCCATCGAGGATCATGTTATCCTCGATCTATCGGCGCTGCATCGCTGCTTCCAGCTCGATTCCCTCCCCCTCCCTCGGAGCCATCCTCTCCCCCCGACGCCCCCCCCCCGCACATGCTATTTTCTCCTTCGGCGGCGCGCACAGGAGGCAGGGGGGACCGCTGAGGTGTCGGGTCTCCTCAGCACCACGGAGGGCTTTGCACCAGTCAGGCTATCGCAAACATGGAACAAGGGGGCGTGGATTTTTAGGCCTCAAAACTGGGGTGAGATTAGATGGGGTCGGAGGATCGCGCCGCATCGCCGATGTATCGCCGATGCGGCTCGATGTGCAGCCCGTTTTTCTTCACGTTGTCGTCGCCGATGCATCGTCGATGCAACGGCGATGCGGCGCGATCCTCCGACCACATCTAACTCGGACCCCATCTAGGAGGCCTCTAGGATTAGCGTCGGGCCCCGTTTCCATAGAACATCGTGGAGTTCCGCCGCCGAACGAGGCGGCACCGGCCCCGTTTCGGGGAGGGCGACTTTCCCCGATCCATGGATTTGGCGACCGTGTGCAAATCCATGGATCGCTAATCCATGTCTGCGCGCCCCCGGGACCAGGCCGCATGGCTTGAGTGAAGCCCCGCCGCCTTCTGGGAAGGCCTGCCCCTCTCACGTACGTATCCCCCTGCTGCGCCGCCCGCCGTCTGCGGGCGAGTTTGATTAGTAGGTCGACCCTTCCAAGTCAAGGGTGCCATCGTGTCCTGTGGTTCGCGACGCACGTCCTCTGCGCTCCCAGGTCCCAGGGGGCAGGTCCCAGGTACTTTTATTTGTGTGTATTTATTTGTGTGTCCCAGGGCCCCTTCAGATTAATAGGTCGACCCTTCCAAGTCAAGGGTGCCATCGTGTCCTGTGGTTCGCGACGCACGTCCTCTGCGCTCCCAGGTCCCAGGGGGCAGGTCCCAGGTCTCGTTTGCTCTCGCTCGTCCTTTCCAATCAGACCCGACTGTATCAGGGGCGGCTTTGCCGACCCCTAGCAAAGTATGCCCTTCCGTGACGACCCCCTCGCTTCGCCCTAAGACGTATGTATGCGGCCAGATGGGGAATTCGAAAGGCGAGGATTACGTCACGGAAGGGGCTGACTTGCGCCCGATTGTACCCTCATTTCTGCGTTCACTCCCTTCCTCTCTCGTGGAGGCGCGCGCGCGTTGCCTCAAGTGCCTCGCGCGCGCGCGCGGGCGCGCCCGCGGGCGCGCGAACATTTTTTGCCTGACTGCGGTGTCGGCCGCAAAGGGGTCGGTTCTCATCCGACGAGTTCTCGGTGGCGGTGGTTTTCGTTTCCCTTCTAAATCGAGGAACAACTAAATCACAAAATCTTTTCTGAGCTCCGCCTGTATTTCTTGGATCGGCGCTTGGGGCCCCTTGGCGGCACCACCAGCGCCGCCCCATATAGCGCGCTCCGTGCGCCAGGGAGGGGTGTCCAGCGCCGATGCACGAGATCCGCGCAGGCCGAACGTTCATGTTGATGTAGTTGTTGTTCTCCTTCCTATGGACGGCCCGAGAAGTTGGGGATGAGGAGGAGGAGGAGGAGGAGAAGAAGGTCGCACCGCATCGCCGATGCATCGGCGATGCGTCTCGATGCGGAGTCCTATCTTTCTCCACGCCGACGTCGCTGATGCATCGCCGACGTCGTCGGTGCATCGCCGATCTAGCGCGGATGCATCGGCGATGCGGCGCGATTTTCCGACCCCATCTACTCGGACTCCATTTAGCAGACCCGTGTTCAGCTGCGTCGTCCTCGTCTTCGCCTAGGCTTCAGAGATCCGGAAGCACATGGAGCGCCCAGTTTGCCAGCGCAGATGGAGCCCGCAGGCTGCCAGCGCGTACGGAAGACGCTTTCCGTTCTCAGTCTGTTTCTGGGGGTTCTCGCGGGGCTCTGGTCGAGTGGGGGATCGATTACAGAATTGATTTACCCCAGAATTGATTTTCTCGTCGAGTCCATGAGTAAAACGTGAAACGCTCGTTCGACAACGTTCTACGAACGTTTCTTTTTCTTGCTTTCCGCGAGAAAAGAAAATCAAAGTTCGGGGTGAATCAATTCTGTAGTCGATCCCCCACTCGATCTGGGACAGTCCAAGCGTCCAAACATTTTTCTGAGTGGAAAGCCCGCCCTGGCGGTAGGGTCGGGGTTTCCTGGGACCCTATAACATGTGTTTCGAACCTCTGGTTCTCTATGCATTACCATTAAGTCGGGCCTGTCCCTCTACAGGGGGAATATAGCAAAAATAATTCAAACATAGTCTGGTGACGATTTTTAAAATCTGTTCGACTATTTGTGAATATTGTTTTCGCCCAAACTCCGCCTGTAGGGGAACAGGCCCGACCTAAGATTACCAGCCTCTCGGAAGGGGTCGATTGATCAAGGGGCCCAGGGCTGGAACCAAGAAACATACAGCCAGCGGCTTGAATAAGGACCACTTGTCTTTCAAAAGGGGCTCGGTCGTTCCTCAGGCTTGCATGCGTTCCACTACCTTTTGGGTGGCGAACCCCCTGGCGTTCCTTGGTAGTTTGGTGGGAGGGGCGGGGGGTCGGATCGCAAACGCAGGTCGTGGCGGAACGCCGCTTCGAAAGGGGCTCGGCCGTTCCTTCGGACCTCGTAGACTTCCCCTGGCCACTGTGGGATTCGCGCCAGGGTTCTGGTCGGAGCGCGCCCCGGGACAGCTCACCGGGAGGGGGGTGCTGAGACCAGGCGCAGGTCGGGCAGTTCCCCCATACAGGGACCTGGACGAAGAATCAGGCATCTCCAGGCACAGCGAACAAAGTGCTCAAAGATCGTCCCCCGATCATTTTTTACCATGGCTGAATCGTCCTCCTGTAGAGGGACAAGCTCTAAAAAATACCCCAAAAATGTACCAACAAGGTCAAACAATATTCAAACAATAGTCCCCAGACTATGTTTAGATTATTGTTTGACTAAATTGTTTTTTATTTTTCGTCGAAAATTCCCCCCTGTAGGGGGACGAGCCCGACTGTTCAGACCAGGCCTCTGAGGGCGGACCCTCGCCGCCCCACGGCAGCGGCCCTCCTCCCTGGACGCCCGCACCGGCCGCGGACGGGAGGGGGTACGATGCCCAGCAACACTGTTGTTCGGGTATGGCCAGGACCCCAGGCAAGGGGACCGGGTTAGTGGTAGGGCCCTGGAGCCCCTGAGTTGGCCAGGATCACTAAACCAGGTTTGCCGTAGCTGGTGTCTTCTCGGGTGACGGCAGTTCCGGCGAGTGGAACGGGGCGCCCCCCAGACCACATCACCAGACCAGGTCCCACTAAAACCCGCTTCTGCCAACGCCCGAACAGTGCCCAGCAACACGTGCCGTGCAGAGCCGACGGCGCCCGTTGCTGCGCGTGGCAAGACGCTACGAAAAAAAGTCCAGCGGGCTAGCAACAGTGTGAGAACAAACAAATGGTGGCACGATGAGAAATCGGGGGTGGACAGGCTCCTACCCTGACAGTCTAGCGAAATGGCCGTTTTCGGTTCGCGAGAAGGCGCCGCGGCCGTCATCTTTGCGGGTCCAGGTCCGTCGGTTTCGGTCCCAGGCCGTTTTCACTAAGGGGAGGTTTACGAAAGGGAGGTCTGTCCACCGCCGCAGAAAAGAGTTTGGCCCTCGAACAACAAAGTGATACGTAACATGCAGCACAGTTGTTTATCACACTTTTTCTATTGCAATTTTGTATCACACGTATTTTAGCGTTAGCGGCACCCTGTCTCGAATGGACAACGTTGGCGGCAACGCCGATAGAGAATCCGGTTCAAGATGGAGAAGGGCTGGTGTCGGTCTTCGTGCCCACTCCTCCCGCATCCATTTCGATCGTGCCGATCCTCGTCCTCGTCGTTCGTCACCCTCGTCTCCTCCCTCCTCCGTGTCCACAGCATCGCGGCCCGGGCTCCGCGGCCGCGGCCCTCGTGGATGCCAGGCGGCAGTGCGCGGACGTCCCGCTTTGAGCTTTTCCACGGCATAGCTTGACCGTGGGATCGTGTCTCCGCATCTGGACCGCGAGGGCACAGATACGCATGTGGTCGGTGCTTTCAGTCTGGTATGCCCCCGTACGGGAGGAATATTCAGAAATAGTTTTGAAAATTAGTACGATGGGGACGATTTTGTGTTTGGTGCGTTCGAGCACTGTTGTCGTTTTGTTTGCGTATTTGCAATGTTCTGTGCAAGACCCGCATGGGCGGGGGACATGCCCGACCTGATCGTCGCTCGTGGCCGCCCTCCCTTCGATGATCCTCGGCCCACCATGGCGTTCGCCCTCCCTCGGGTCCTGTGTAAGCCCACCATGGCGTTCGCCCTCCCTTCGATGATCCTCGTGGTCGCCCTCCCT